AAGAGACAGATTGGGGGGTGCTCCCGCGGCTGTCCGGGCCTTCTGGGCTCTGGGGATTGGGGGCGTGTGTGAGCATGGAGCGTGCCGCCGGGTTTGGGGTGTGGGGGGGTGTCTGTGGCTGCAGGGAGTGCTGCCCGGGTTGGGGGTGTCGCTGAGCTCGGGGCATGCCGGCAGCTTCGGGGGTGCTGCCGGCGCTGCTGATTTTAGGCTCGGTTCCTGGATTTGCGCAGCGCTGCCCGGTATTTCTGGTTTGGGGGTGCTGCCAGGCTAGGGGGGGCGCAGAGACCCACGGTTGTGATTAACGCCGAGCAGTTTTCCGAGCGGCGCGGGGGCCTGGTCTCCGGCTGTCTCACTGCCGGCTTCATCCCCGCCGCCCTGGGGAGAGTGGGGGGGGCTTAGTCGGAGTTGCCGGACAAAGCTGCGTTTGCTGGCCCAGCTCCTCAGCCCTCCTCGTCTGCCTCCAGTCGGCTCAGTTTAAAATCTGGCTGCTGCTGTGTTGTTTATTCTGCCCTTCAGCTGGAAGCTGCGTGATGTTGCCCAGAGAAAGGAGTTTAACCCGTGGCCAGGCTCAGAGCTGGGTGTTTTTGCCAGGGCCAGTTTTGTGAATCGTACCTGGGAGCAGTGAAGGGGCAGATGTGTGTCCCCTTGCTCTGCCCTTTCTCTGACCTGTTGAAAGCAGCATCTGCTCCAACCAAAAAAACCCTGACACTGCAGCAGTGCCAGCAGTGCACCTCGTACGGTGTCAGTGTGGCCAAGCTGGGCGCCTCGCCTGGGCAGCCTGAATGTGCGGGTACTGAGCTGGCCCCACCTTGGGAAGAGCTGGGGGCACCCCACCGCCACCCTCGGGTGTTTTTAACTTTTCCTGACAGAGGTGAAATCATGTCTCTCAGAGTAATTTCAGAAGAGCACACGTTGTGCTGTCTGCTCAGCTTTGGTAGTAAATGATGTGTTTCTGTTTATAGTTTAATTGTTTTATTCCTTGTTTTGAGTCTCTGATGCAGATTGTTCAGAACCATTGATCCAGGCTGGTTTTTGCTTTGTTCCTGCGGTTTCACTTGGCGGTGTTGCAGGAGGGACACTGGGCCGTGCTGCTCCACTGCTGTATGCTGGGGTGGCCCTGAGGAAAGAGGCTTTAGGAAATCCTTTCCCGAGTCTAGCTGAAGCTCAAGTGATCTTCTGCCACTGGAATTCCTGTGGCACTTGCATCACTTGGCAAGTTCATTCACTTTTCTTGGGTTCACCTTAGTTTCTGCTCAGTATAAGATTGCTGGCAAGCAATTCCCACAGTCTGCTCCTGTTGCATCTTCCTGTTGCTCTGTGTGTCACAAAGCGGTTTGTCAGATGGCTGTCTAGTGAAGAGAGCTGGTCAGTGATGGTCAGCTATTAAGGCAATCAAACAGAAGGATGTAACCTAACATTTTAAAGCTGGTTAAAACTAGCAACCTGAATTTATTCTTTTTGTACTGGCACATGTCAGATCTGCTCCGATAGCATCCTTTGCATTCTCCTGATACCAGGAAGGGTCATGAATCTTTAGTCTCATGGTAGGTTTTCACCTGTGAATGCTTCTGCATACTTCTACTTGTGTCTGCTTTTGTCCCTATAAAACTGTCAGTGGGGTCTTTTGCTTTGTAGTCAATGATATTCTTTTGTAGTCCAGTTCATCTGCATTTGTCTCATTCCTTCTCTCAGTCTCTCTGGTTTAGGTAGCAGAATAATCTAATAACCTGCTAAACAGAAGGTTAACCAGGTGTATATTCCTATTTTAAAGAATACAGTGTGGGAGAGAAAGGCAGAAATGTCTCATCAGGACATGAGTAGAAGTGTGATGCAGTTGCCAGTTTTGGTGGTGTTTGGCAGTGATGGTAGCTGCAGCCCTATTCTGGCTCAGGGCTTTTGGATCGAACTTGGTGCAGAGGTTGCCTGTGTTTCTGGCTTGTTTCTGCTTGTGCCTTTGGTTGCAGTGGGGTTTGTGTGGTTGTCTGGAGTGTGGCATAATGTCTTGTCTGCTTTGGGA